TCAAGATATCACGTATAAGAATGTATAATGCTCTATTTATCCCTATGGAGATCGTTGACATCCAGGTAGTGAGGGGACACGTGTATGGCCAAATATTGAAGGCAAACTGATGCCGTGCATTTGTCAACCATTCAGAAGGTCTTCAATAATATATAAAGCACCATTGCCTCCACTTAAAAATCATCCATTGGTTCACTCAATCCCCCTAGTCCAGTGGTTTGTGGTCATAGCCTTCAACCGAAACACCATGGTTTGATACCTAGCAACAACATTATTATTTCTAGTCCATTATTTGGGCCAGTATCTCGGGCTTTGTACTTACTTTTTTTTTTTTTTTGTCACAGCGCCTCGAACAATAATACTACTATTTTTCTACCCGTTCTGTACTTTCATACCCGATTTATGATGGATCCGGTCCCGACAAAACCATCAATATGTACTCTCACTTTTTACTATATCTTCTATTTCATGTTACATGCACATTTTGATGAAAAATGCTACTTGAACTCCTTAATTCTACTATCACTCTACTCCTTCACTTAAACTTTTGATGGGGACCCACATAATGAATATAACTTATCAAATGGTTGCCACATAGAAAATAAAAGTTAAAAGGTAGCGACTGAAAATACATGTAATAAAACTCCATTTTGATTCATAAAAAAAAATAGATCACAATTTGTATTCCTTCTTCTTTCTTCTTCTTTTTTTTTTCTGTTTTTTTTTTTCTTTCATAAAATCAAGACATGTGTCGAGCTCCCTGCAAATTCAATATCATTTTCCATTAAAAAATCAAAATGCTGGCTGCCAGTCTGTTGGTTGGTGCAAACAACAAAGTACTTCACCAAGTCAAATATAATGGTTGAGGTGGAATAATTAGGGCGCATGCAGTAACTTGGATGTCACTCAAACTTGTGATTGATGACCCCCATTCTTTGATTTGAAGCTTCATATATTCCTTTAATTTCCACTAATCAATTCATACATAATTGATTATTTAGTTTCAAGAAATCATTGACTCCTCCCATTCCTCATTCATCGTACCTTATAATAATTATGATTATACACTAATATGACAATTTGAGGACTTTAGGTAATATATTTTGTTAAACCATCACACATGTATTTACTATATATGTTCTAAATGGTATGAGTGATCTACATATGTGTAAGTGGTGAAACTAATGACTATTGCGACATAATGAATAAGGAACCAACATAACTACCCTAATACACAATTAGGAATGATATCGAATTACTCTATAATTGAGAGGCTAATTTTATACATATTTCATGAGTCAAATGTGAATTAACGCAACTTAAAATTCTAAGGAGCAAACTTTCAAGTTCTATTTATGAATGACAACTCACATTTGTGTTATAAGTATTCATATAATTTATATGAATACTTATAACACAAATGTGAGTTGTCATTCATAAATAGAACTTGAAAGTTTGCTCCTTAGAATTTTAAGTTGCGTTAACACACACACATATAAAAGAAGGGTTCTCAATATTACAAATTTTCAAGTTTGTAAAAATTATAAAATTGATCACATTTTTTTATTAAAATTTTCAACCATTGATTAACCTTAATGAGCGCCTGAGATTAGTCCACTCCTAAAATTTGCTAGTCTCAACTGCAAAATATGTTTTAAGTGAGATTTTAATTCGAACGTGCGACTTGCTCTGATACCAATTTCATAATCAAGCGTTTACTAATATGCCAAAAAACTATAATTAGTAGCGAATGCGCAATTTTATATCCTTATACTTGTGTTGCAATCGGCACCATATTTCGATGGTAAGATGTTGAACTCGGCTCTCCAAGCCCCGCACGCGCACACACACATGATCAGAATCAAATGATAACTACAACTCCTGTAATATAAGAACTGCGAACTACCTATTGTGTATTTTGTAATGCCGAATTGTGTATTGGTTGATAATTAATTATGCATCAGGAAACTATTATCCAAATACACTGTCAAATAATTTCTTAAAATATAGTGATATTTTTGTAATTATGATTGTGTTCTTGTAATGTCTGATTGTGCATCGGTGTATTGGCCCATCGACAAATGGACATTGCTCCCTCCCGCCGCCTGTTTCGGGGATCGTTATGCCATGGAACCGTGTTCACCATGAATGGTGAACACGGTCCTAACGGTAACAGTGCACCGTTATATTTTTTTATTTTATTTTATTTTTATTTTTATTTTTTCACGCGACTTTTCTTCTTCATTTTCACATTTTGCGGTTTCATTTCCTCTTCGCGCAAGCTTCTTCAACAAAATTCATAATTTCATAACTGCACATTCATAAATCCATGCCTGCACATTCATAATTGCATGGATTTATGAATGTGTAGTTATAAAATTATGAATTTTCTGTTATGAGATTATAAATTTACAATAAATTCATAATCTCATAACAGAAAATTCATAATTTAATAAATATTTTTCTTTTATGTGATTATGAATTTTCTGTTATGAGATTATGAATTTATAGTACTTCATAATCTCATAACAGAAAATTCATAATCTGACCAAACGCGCACCGTTAACATCACATTAGCGATTTTTTTTCGTAAAAATGACACCGTTTAGATCCGTGTTCACTATTCATGGTGAACACGTTTCCAAGCCATGAATGGTGAACACATTTCCAGGGCATAATTTGCCCGGTTTCGGCACGTACAAATATTATCTCCTAATACCAATCCTCACATTCACACTCATCTTGCATCACCTTCAAAACGCGTGGAAATACCTTCTCATTTTTTTTTCGCTTTTACAAAGATACTTAATACTTTTATCATTAAAGTATTTGAATTTGTACTATTTTATTAACGTTTTGAAAAGATTGAAAAAGGAATTTTAAAATATGTGTTGGTAGATATAATTTTATAAACTAAATTTAGAATAAAGAGAATATAAAATTAAGATAAATGTATCACTTTTTTTTTTAATGAGTGACTCTCTTATAGATCTGTGAAACACGTCGGGGTAAGATAGAAATGTAATACTTATACTAAAAAAAAAATCTAATACTAGTCAGAAATAAATTAGTTATTACTTATAAAAAAGGTTTAATACTTTTTGAAAAAAGTATTACACTTTTCTTTGTAAATAACAAATACTTTCATCTTACCGATAAGAATCAGTAAGACGGGCACACACAAATTTTTTGTATTTTTTTATTTGTATTATATACACTTCATTCTTTTACTCAACTAATAAGAAGTTGGTGATAAGAATGTGTATTTCTTGATGGAGTCTGAATACTTTTGTCTCTATTTTTGTTTTTGTTTTTGGTACTTAAAGTGAACAACAAAACCTTTGAATTGATTAACTGAAAAAAGATATTTTTATGTGTGTAGGTGAGTTGCTAACCTCTCACATCAGGATATTATATTTTGCATGAGCCCCTGGTTTTTCTAATATTACATTTTGACCTTCTAAAGTTTCCAAACTACACCACCTTTTCTCCTTTTCAACGTCTTGTCTACACATAATATTTGTCTTTTTCTTTTTAATAATTTTATAAAAATCATTTATTGTACTTTACAAAAAAAAAAAAAAAAAACTCTAGAAAATTGCCCTAAACTGTGGGCAAACTTTAGAATCAAAGAATTTCTTGAAAACCAAACTTAATAACAGAAAATACTCAAATTGTTCGCACAGACTTAGCTCAATGATTTAGTAGGCAAGATTCGAACTTCGGCAACGGCAATATGGAACCAACATTTAGCCCTGTAAACCTAATGAACCATCCAGAGTCAATAACGCCTCCATTGAGACTTGATCTCATGACTTTCCACATGGGAGAGGTCACTACATGTCATCTGAACACAAAGTGGTTAACTGTAGGTAGTATTAATAATATTTAGTAAATTAGATGTTTAATTTTAGTTGGTAGAATCTAAAATGACCTCATAAGATATGAATTTATTGTTTTAGTTATTTTTTTTAAATAATATTTAGTAAATTAGATGTTTAATTTAGTTGGTAGACTCTAAAATGACCTCATAAGATAAAAGTTTTTATATTTTGGATATAAGTTTCATAATAATTTAATTTTAAAAATTATTATAGATGTTTTTGTTGTGAAACCCCTCCACAACTCATAAAGAAACTTGTGCACTTACCGGTAGTATAATTAAAATGAAGATAAAAAGTAAATTTTTACATACATTTTTAATAATTATACAAATATAATTAAATGTAAAATAAATATAAAATATTAAGTTTAAAATTATTATGTAAATATAAATTAGTTGAATTTATATTATTATATAAATATAAATTAATAGTATAAATTAGTAGCTAAGCTAGTTTTTAAGATAAATAAATTGAATTTGCCTATGATGCACATGAACTCTTGACTCTTTAAGGGTGAGTGTTTCTACATTTTAAAAATGTTTCATCTATAAAAAAGAACTGAAGAAAATTCAATTACAACATTTCAATATATTTTTTTTTTTTTTTTGAAGAACAATATCTTTCTCTTAATTTACAAAAATAATAAAAATGCAATTATTATTATTAAAAAGTTATTTCATAAGGTATTACAAGATGCACAATTCAAAATCCAAAAGTAATTATAGAAATGTGAATTTTCAAAATGTACAATTATTTATTCACGAATACAAAATTAGGTATTATATAGAAAGTTCTTCATATAAAATATTTGGTTCTCATTTGATTCCATATATCATATTTTCATAATCCACTAACACTTCAATGATAAAGAAAATTATTACTCCGTATAACACTTTGTGCTTCAATATGTTAAAGAAGTTGTTATGAACATATATTACATTGTAATGTAGTCAGTAGAAACTAATCCTTTTTCTATTCCACAGAAGTCATTTTTTTTTAACAAAAATTTATTGGGTATCTTCAGACATTGTGCATTTTAACTCGCTTTGTCAAAAGTAATAAGTTAATCCTAAATTTCTGATTTTTTTACAAGCAAAGTTTCAAAGCTCCTTTTTGGTGATTTAGTAGTAATGAGGCCAGCAGATCTTAGATCCACAACGACTATTTAAGGAGCTGCCCGCCCTTGTAGCTCTCCATGTAGAGAGGGAGTCCCTGCGATTTAGTGTTGCCTAAACATCTTCACCATTTTCTATACTTCTCTCTTCCTCGCTCTTCCATTTTCGGAGCCACTAAGCACCGACCCAATAGGTACTTTCTGTGTTTTCACCTTCATTTCTTGTTCCAACACTCCTTTTATATGCTCATAATATGTTCGTTTCTGTGATGGGAATATGGGATTGATCTCGATTTGAAGTGTGAACTGTGGGATATGAGTTATCTTGCTTTATTTGATCAAAGTGCAAATCTTTTCTGTGTTTTCCCGTAACCCGAAGCGTGGGTTTTGGATTATGTGTTTGTTTGTTTCGTATTTTTCTCGCTGATCTCCGTGTCGGTTGCCTGATCGTGATGAGAACCTTTAGAATTTCGCTAGATCTGCCATTCTTGCGTGGCGAGTGTTAGATCTAGGGCCTTTGTGGCTTTGAAAAGGGAGCAATTTGGTTGATTTTGTATCGTAGTGTAATGATGCTAGATCTGGTCGGAGCTCATCAAGAATTGTGATGCCTTAGGAATTAGGATTATGATGCTTCACATTTACTCTTTATTCAGAGATGAAGTTCTATCAAATTAAGAAATTTAGATCTCTGGGAGGTTACTGTATATATGGCTTAATCATACATAAACAGCAATGATAGCATATTTGATTTAAGTATGCAAGTTATTTCTTTAATCTTTATATCCTTTTTGCAAATTTACTAAATTCTTGAATTCAGACATTTTCATTCTATCTGTAAATGCATTTGTGAAGTTAATAAGTTTGAACCCCAAACCTAAGGGCCCAGTGAGAGGAGGTAAATTGTGGGATGTGCCTTAGTGAGACAGGGTTTGAGGGCTTTGCCTTGTTTTTTCCAAGGTTTATTCCTCTCCAAGTGAGGATTCAAACCCGGGTATTTGCTGGGCACTACACTCACATTCAACCTTTCGACTACTGAACTATGGCCCGGAGGTCATTTATCAAATTTATGTATGTATGAAATGTGAATTTGCAGAGTAACAATGGTGAAGATTTGCTGTATTGGTGCTGGGTATGTGGGAGGACCCACTATGGCAGTGATAGCACTTAAGTGCCCCAAGATTGAAGTGGCGGTTGTAGATATTTCTGTGCCTCGGATCAATGCGTGGAACAGTGACCAGCTCCCTATCTACGAGCCGGGCCTGGATGATGTAGTGAAGCAGTGCCGAGGCAAGAACCTCTTCTTCAGCACGGATGTGGAGAAACATGTGCGTGAAGCTGATATAGTCTTTGTTTCTGTCAATACTCCTACCAAGACCCGAGGTCTTGGAGCTGGCAAAGCTGCAGATTTGACGTATTGGGAGAGTGCGGCTCGCATGATTGCTGATGTTTCGAAATCTGATAAGATAGTTGTTGAGAAATCAACTGTCCCTGTCAAAACCGCTGAGGCAATTGAAAAAATTTTGATGCACAACAGCAAGGGAATTAACTTCCAGATCCTCTCGAACCCTGAATTTCTTGCAGAGGGGACTGCAATCGAAGACCTTTTTAAACCCGACAGGGTCCTCATTGGGGGTCGGGAGACCCCAGAAGGGAATAAGGCAGTTAAAGCACTCAAGGATGTCTACGCCCACTGGGTGCCTGAGGATCGGATCTTAACCACCAATTTGTGGTCTGCCGAGCTATCAAAGCTGGCAGCCAATGCATTCCTGGCACAAAGAATATCTTCCGTTAATGCCATGTCAGCTCTCTGTGAGGCCACTGGAGCAGACGTTACCCAGGTTTCATACGCTGTTGGCAAGGACACAAGAATTGGTCCCAAGTTCCTGAACGCTAGTGTGGGCTTCGGTGGTTCTTGCTTCCAAAAGGACATTCTGAACCTTGTTTACATTTGTGAGTGCAACGGCCTTCCCGAGGTGGCTGAATACTGGAAGCAAGTAATCAAGATCAATGATTACCAGAAAAGCCGCTTTGTCAACCGTGTCGTTGCATCTATGTTCAACACGGTATCAAACAAGAAAGTTGCCATCCTCGGTTTTGCTTTCAAGAAGGATACGGGCGATACCCGTGAGACCCCTGCAATCGATGTTTGCAAGGGGCTGATGGGCGACAATGCCTTGCTAAGCATTTATGACCCTCAGGTGAACGAGGATCAGATCCAGAGGGACCTCTCGATGAAGAAGTTCGATTGGGATCACCCCCTTCATCTCCAGCCAATGAGTCCCACGACCGTGAAAAAAGTTTCCGTAGTCTGGGACGCCTACGAGGCAACCAAAGGTGCCCATGCCATCTGCATTCTCACCGAGTGGGATGAATTCAAGAACCTCGACTACAAAAAGATATACGACAACATGGAAAAACCCGCATTTGTTTTTGATGGTAGGAACATTGTGAATATGGAGAAGCTGCGGGAGATTGGGTTTATCGTCTACTCGATTGGTAAGCCGTTGGATGCTTGGCTCAAGGACATGCCTGCCGTCGCTTAGATATATTCTTTAATTCTCTTTTTGTCATACTTTAGTTCCAAGGATGTTGTCTTTGTTGCTGTCTGAGTTAAAGCCTACTCTGTATTGATGCTACTACATTTTACCTGTTTGATCCATTTATAATAGTCGAGTTTTTATTACCACTTGTGTTTATTCTCGCATTATAATAAAAGGATGTGGGTTCGTACGTCTTTGTTTTAGACTTTTAGTAGCCATAATAATGAATTCGAAGGTGATAACTGTGAATTCCAGATCTGACTAATTACTGTTCGTTGGAGATCGGTAAAGAACTAATCTAGCACTATGCTTCTCGAAAATGTGGTGTTATATAAGGTTAGAAGTTAATTGCTTCCAATGAGATTTTGTTACAAAAAATTCATACCAGTGAGAATGCAGCAGATATGTAGACAAAGGCAGTTAACGCTGACAAGTTCAAACACTATTTGAACTTGTTCAGTGTTTCATGTTGGCGGAGGCGGTTAAAGGGCCAAGTCCAATACCATACCTCTAAAAAATGTGGCGGTAGGAATAAAAGTTACACCTTCATTACAAGCTATAGCTTTTAGCATAATGGTAAGGACTTGATCGTGTCAAGTGATATCAAAGTTAAGTCAAAAGTTTGAGTACCGCAGTTAAAATTGGGAGAATGAATTGTTAGGGCTAGAAGGACTGTTGGGCCAAGTCTGTGAAGAACCAAGTCTAATACCTGTCTCTAGAAAATGTGATCTCATATATATAAAGTTGCAAATAAAAGTTTGATTCGATCAATAACCCTAAAAAAAATTAATTAAAAATTAAATATCTACTATTATGTTTTCTTTCTAGCTTTATAAGTTTATTTTCTAGGTGATAAATGCCAAAAGAATTATAGATTTGGAATATTCTGTCAGGTGCTCCTGTCTGGCCAAGTTAAAGTTTGCTACCTGCAGTGAGTATGAACCACGTGTCTGAAAAGGATGTACGTGTCGTTCGTTCCCAACCATATCTCACCGACATTTTACCTATGCATGTTTTTCACCCGACATCATCTTCCTTAACATTTCCGTATTTGGAATCATGGTGGCATTCTGTGAAATTAATTTCAAATGGATCCCCCTTTCGGTAATTTCAAATCGAACAATAATTCGTACTTTCTCCCCGGATTATCGAACATTTTATATATTACTGCTTTTCCGACCACCGATTTTCGCTTTCCTGTTTCCATCGGTCACTGTCAGTTCCATCAAGATTCCTCCGGATCACTGTTATCGAAATTCAAATTGAACTCTTCCTTCGTTCAATTCGATTAGTGTTCTATATGTGAATACTAATTTCATATCTCGTTGTTAATCGAATGAAAGTCTAGGGTTAGGGTTTTCAAAATCAGCGAATTTAGTCTTGCGAGTGAGCTTGTTTTTATCTGTTCATAGAGGGGTTTACTGATTTGGGTATTGAATTTCTTGTTTTCTTTACATTCCGAGTCTTTCGTGGTTGATCGATTTGAATTTTTCTGATCGGTTAGGTCAGAACCAAATTGGGGAGTTCTCTTGCTGCATCCTTTCGGATTTCAGGTAATTAGAGCTATTTTTAACTAAAAAATGTTGCACTGGGTTTGTTTTAAATTTCCTTATAATTGTTGCCTTTTGTTGTTTGAATGTCTTATATTGAGTTAATATAGTTTTGCCACATTTAGTCACTTTCAAATTCACCGTTCGTAGTCTTTCGACTTTCAAATTGTTATCATTCGTAGTCTAAATTAATGACTCCTATTGTCCTTCAACTATCAAATTTTAATCACTTATGGTCCTTCTAGAGTTTCAGGAGGACTGTGGTTGGTTAAATTTTGAAAGTTGAAGGACTATGGGTGGTTAATTTAGACTACAGATGATAACAATTTAAAAGTCAAAGGATCATGAGTGGTGAATTTGAAAGTTTAAGACTAAACGTTACAAAACCACTACGGGGTCGTCTTATATTTTACTTTTGTTTTTTTGTTTTTGTATTTATATTTGTATTTGCTTTTGTCTCTGGTTGGTCTTTGAGATGGTGACATTAAGTTTGAATAAATTTCCTTCTTCAGTTCTTAAGGCTCTTAGCAAGGATATAGAGAGTTTGCTTTGTTTTTATCAATACATGTCTGAATGTTGATTTGAAAAAATAAACTGATAATAGCTAAGACAGGTAAAACTGCAGACTTCTATTCATTTCTTGGTCTTGGAGTCTTAACTCATGAATTTTTTTTTTTAAAAAAATTGCTGTGTACCATTCTTGTTGGCCTTCTATTTAGGTTAGACTGCACCTTTCATTTTCCTATCATTATGTTATTGGTTCCTTTCTAAAGATTTAAGCCGCTCGGTTGCCTCATCTTGCAGAGTCTGAATGGCCTGCAAAAGGCCATTTCACGATGTAGAGTCATATGAGATTGCTCCCAAGCATCCAAAACAGCAGGAATCTCCTTTCCTGGAGACTTTTCTCTGCGAGAATGGTTCTCATAAATTTATTTCAGGTAACAGCTGCTAAGTAGTTCATTACTTTTAAGAGTCCCCCATCGAAAAAATAAGAGAGAATATATGGGTTTATAAGGCCATGTGTTAGACTAGTTAATTGGTTGGATTCAATCTTTTAGTGTGGTTTGGCCCATGTGCATTATAGTCCAATTGAGTGACTCTAGCCCGATTTGTCTGCTTGTTCAAACACAGGCTTGAAGGTAGTACTAGTGCTGTAGGACTAACATAGTTCGACTAAAATGAACATTATTGAACATAAATGTCTATATTGACCTCTTTTCCTGCATCAACAAGGTGAAACTGTCGACGACTTTGGCCAATGTCAAGTTGGAAGACTGGCGGCAAAAGAGGCAGCTGGTGAATCTTCAAACGGGACTGCTGTAGCATTTGGTGCTTCCAGTGCCGAGACTGCAAAAAACGCATTTCATGACTACTCAAGTGCAGTTAATTCAGAAACCGACTTTGGTACCTTAAGCAATGATTCTAGTTGTGTGTGGGTTAAGAGCGATGCTTTTGAAGGATATGAAGAGGCCAACGAATCAGTTCATAAACCAGTTTTTCCACATTTTTTCGAACTTGACCTACAAGAGTTTTGTTCAACTCTTACTGAACATCCTATTCGGAAAATGGTTCCAGTTGGCCCCGAATATCAAGCTGATATCCCTGACTGGAACCCACAGAGTCTCAGCAACTACTCCTCGGAACAGTTAGCCCCAATTCCTGATGTAGAGTCCTCTGTCTCCACACGTTTTATAGGTAAGGAAAATGAAGGCGGCTGTTACTGCCTCGATAAAGGTTCTATTAGATGTGTAAGGCAACATGTTAAAGAATCAAGGGATAAACTGATTGAAAATATTGGATTGAAAAATTTCGAGGAACTGGGATTTTGTGACATGGGAGAGGTGGTTGCAGAGAGGTGGAGCGATGAGGAGGAAAAAAATTTTCACGACATAGTCTTCTCTAACAAAGCTTCCTTTGGAAAGAACTACTGGCATTCACTAGCAGTTTCATTCCCGTCTAGATCCAAGATGGAACTGGTCAGCTACTACTTCAATGTTTTTAAACTGCGGCAACGTGCAGAGCAGAATAGACTTGTCCCGACAAATATTGACAGTGATAATGATGAATGGCCAGGTTTTGAAGCTCAACATATAGACGAAGATAATGGTTTTGCAGTTGAATCTTTGGATGGTCAAGATACTTTTGTTCTTGATCAGGCAACTCATGAGAAGGATATTCCTGGTGATACTGAAAATGGCATTTCAGAGGATGCTTACCAAGACCATCTCGACGGTATTAACAGGGAAAAATTGAAACCCGAGGAAGGGGAAGGGGAAGGGAACTTTAATGATGTTTCAGGGATGCAAGTTGGAGAACCTAGGAATAATGTAAACTGTATATGAATGTCAAGTCGGATCCAGTGAATTGAAGCATGTGCTCCATCTCAACTAAAAGGCTAAGCTGATAGTTGGATTGCACATTAATGGTTATATGCTCAACACAGTGTTCGAGTTGATGCAGAAAATGATGCTGGTAAACTTAGCCCGGTGTGATTTTCGTACAAGTATGCAATCCAGGTATAACTTACTGTTGAGCCGAGCCATGGCTCAAGGCACTGGGCATGGACTCTGGAATAAGCTGTTTAGCTTCTGAGCTTTACAATGAAGTTCATGGCTAATGGAATCAGTAGAATGGCAATCTCATTGGATTCTGAACTTGTGTCTTGAAAGATGGCCACAATCGGCATGAAAAACTGAAGTGGTAGATGCTAGAAAAGGGAACTTTCTCTTGCAGTTGCACAATTTTGCTGCCCAGATAGCTGAACACCTGATGTGTATGTCTTGTGAGATGAAACTATATGAGCACAACTTCTCCAGTCTTGCAAGCCTGTGTAATTAGCCTTTAACTCTGAAATTTTGTATTTAATGTTGAGCATAATTACACATATCAAATAGTAAAGAACAAAAAGTAGTGTAAAAAACATGGCACAAATAACATTTTATATTAAAATGAAACCAATTGCAGTGTCGTATAACTAATGTTGTAGAAGGTGCTAGGCGCTAGTCGGGTGTCTGGGGCATGTAGGTGGGCGAGTAATAATAATAAAAAAAACACAGTAATGTATACATTGTACATTAAAAGAAGACCAATTTTTACAACAGTGTGTATAACACCTACAATTTCAAAGGATTTGACAAAAGAGATGGTTAGTCTCTTTGTGTTATAAACTAGTAGTTAATAAGCTAATTGATTGAAGGGAAAATGGCACTTTTTCCCCCTGTGTTATATACTTATAGCACTTTTTCCCCCTATATTATTTAAGTGGCAATTTTCCCCCCTGATATATTAAATGGACATATTTACCCTTAAAATAAATATTTCCTTTATTTTACTTCTCCAACAAATTATAACCACAATTTGAAAAAATAAAATACATTAATTGTTGAATTTAGAATACTTTAAAAATAAAAAAATAAAATTTTAAAATAATGTTTGAACCAACAGTTCAAATTGGATCCGAAATTGTGAAACAACGATTCAAAATAAAAACCAAATCGCGATTATATATACTTATATGTGAGAGTCAATATAAATGCGAAAAAAACATACACTATTTGTAAATATTATAATTCTAATTTTAAGCTATTGCTAGTAGTTGTTCCGATTTGAACCTCTGGTTCACGGTTCAGAATCTATTTTTTTCCACTTCACAATTTTAATAAACGGAAACCCAAATATTGGGTTATGTTATGAATCATAACTGATTTTTTTTTTATTTGATTGCTATAGTGTTCGGTTCAGTTCGAACCGAACCGTGGCCATCCCTACGTATAAACAATAATTTGTTGAACAAGAGAAATAAATAAAATATGTATTTAAGGGTAAAAATGTCTATTTAATATTATCAGGGGGAAAAACCGCCACTTTTATAATAATTGAGGGGGGCAAATGTGGATGCATGAATAACTCAGGGGAAAAAAGTGCTATAAGCATATAACATAGGGGGAAAAAGTGCCATTTTCCCTTGATTGAATTAAGGTGTTTGGTAAAATTATCTGCTGAATAAAATAATAAGTATAAAAAGACATAAAAATAGACGAATTTATATATTCAACTTTAAATATTGATATATATTGCCATCTAAAAAAAAAAATTTACATTTATGATTTAGCATCTCATAATAAAGTAACGAGTAAATTTCAATTTTGGTCCAACGACTATTAGAATTTTGTTAATTGTAATTCACGACTTTTAAAACTGTTAATTTAGTACATTAACTATTTAATTTTTACTATTTTTGGTCTTTCCGGTCAAATTGACGGTTAAATATCACCTGAAAATATTAGTAGGTAAAATAATGAGGATTTTAATTAAACTCTATAAAATAGAGTCATAAATCATAGGGAGTAATTATTATAATGTTATACCAAAACTGTTAGGCTACTAACCAAAAATATATTTTAAGACTGTTTCAAAAAAAATATACTCCGTATATTTTAAGACTGGGTTTGGCAAATCTCTGCTTCCATGCAAGGGATTTATCATATCCTTTTCCTCCTACTGTACATCGCCTCTGGTCAATTCCCCCAACAAGATTCATATTTGATATTTCCTTCACATCCAAACAGTCCCCTAGGCTAAGATCATCTCTCTTCATTTAGATAAGCCAAGACTCCTTTCAATACGGAAAATGAAGAGTCCAAGACGCAATAGAAAGTAGAAACAGCATCAAGGATCTGCATTAACCTTTGTAGTACCCAATTAGAGCCTTAGAGGGGTTTCGTTAATCTGGGTTTTTAACCAATCATTTCACTGAATTCTTGCATTTTTCTTTAGCGATTTGACTGGGAAATTTGTGGGTGGATCAATTCAATGGTCTTCAGAGAAGAAGAAGAAGAAGAAGCTGAAGAGCAGAAGTTCATCTGCAAATTCTGCAACAAGGTTTGCCTTAGCGGGAGATCATTGGGAGGCCACATGCGTGGCCATTTACACTTGATTGCAGCTGCTAAAAAGCAAAGAACCAAAGCTGATCAAAACTCAGTGCAATCCAGGAGTGCCAAGATTCGAGAAAAGGGCAAGAGCATGGTTCTTGGGGAAGATGATGGCCTAACAGAGAATCCCAACAAATCTTGGAAGGTTTTTTATTCGAATCATCGTGGTTTGGAGAGGGAGAATCTCAGCGATCACCAGAGGAGGTATGAAGAAGAAGAAGAGCATCATCTCTGCAAGAAATGTGGCAAAGTTTTTGATACCATAAGGGCTCTGAATGGACATATGCAGATTCACTCCAAAAGATCCAGGCTTTCCCGTGAAGAATCAATGGAGAGCTTATCAGACATGGAGAATCAGTGCCCTGTTCAGAAGAAACGATCTGCGATAAGGTACGGAGTTACTGAGAATTCTCCATTTTCTTCTGTTGCTTCTGATTTAGAAGAAGCGGCTGTGTGCCTGATGATGCTCTCAAGGGGTTTTCAAGAATGGGACTTTGTTCTTTGAAACTGAAACAATTTACTACTGAAACCAAGAAAAATATAAAGCTTGTTTGGAACTTGAGTTTCAACGCTGTAAATCTGTTTTCACATCTGGTTTCTGTTCTGTAAATCTGCCATGAGTCTCAACTGGCTTTGACCTTTTCTAATACAAAATGCAGTAGTTGCAAAGTTTTAAGTCATCTTTTAATTTGATCACCCATGATGATGATAAAGAGCTAATAAGTTTAATAGGCTTTTAAATGGTTTAACATCTTATTGATTTTTATTTTTTTTTTGAGCGACGAGAAAAATCACAGTTACTACTCTGAAGTGCACGGGGTAAATCTCACTTTGTAACTCTAACGCAAAAGACCATAATGAGATAAACCAATTTAGGTCTCGCAGCAGTTGTCCATAACCCAGGTAGGCAAATGACCACAATGCCATAAACCAACCATAACCCTGGTCGGCAAATGACCATAATGCCATAAACCAACAACCTAGCTGGCAAAGGACTACAATAAATTATACTAGTTCAAACTAAGAAGACTAATAGGGGGCTTTGGTTGTGAGCTGAACTTGTCTTATTGATTTGGTGTTATAAGTTGAATTTAATTAAAAAGAAAATTGAAATACAAAATATGACACCTAGGCTTTTAGTCACCTAACATTATATTTGCAAACAGCTTGACAATTACCTCATCACTTCCATGCCCTTTACCACGTAGTTGAAACTTGGGAGTATATTAAAATTCATGAGATGTTTTGGTAGGAGTAGATAATTGAATTGTCTTGCTTGTTGAATTGGTATCTACTCCAGTGCCTGGGTAGTACATGGTGTTTTAAATATCTTGTCTGGATTTGAATCTTATGCTAAGAGCAAGGAGAAAAAACACCAAAAAACCATTGTTCCTATTCGTTAAAAAACCATACTACCAGGTTTTTCTCTGCAAAAATTCATTTAAAAATCACAAATGGCCTTGCTTTAAGAAAGAACTTCTCCCACCACCAATAATAATAATAATAAAAATAATAATAATAATAATAATAATAATAATAATAATAATAATAATGCCCTTAGGGTTGGGGTTTAGCCTTTGGAAGAATAATAATAATAATAATAATAAAATGTTTAAATGGCACATAAATTTTATTTATCTTTTAATTTGAAAAAAAAAAAAAAACTGAATTGGATGACCCTTTCTTCAATTCTTCTCTTCACATGTTATCCCAAATTATTATTATTATTTTAAATTCTAAAATGGCAACTTAAAAGCTGAAACCTTATTTTAAAGAGTGCTATTAACCATTTTTTTTTAATCCGGTAATTACATGCTTCAATTAGTCCAACAAAAATTATCTGAAGTAATTAGTTTTATTTATTTTTCATTCTAGAATGAAAGTAAAACATATATTTTTTTGAGAACGCATGCATTAAGCATGTGTTTGTCTCTTTTTAAATGAAGCATGTTTCAGAAACAGTATAGTGTATAGTATAATAGTGGTGGGGTTGAATGCAGATGGGGTAGGTGGGCAGACAATCTCACAGTTCTGACTCGTGAAAATGTGGGTTTTATTTAGTATGGGATCGAGAGGAGTGTTAGGGCATCCTCAATAGTAGGGATTTTGGTTTGGGTTTTGAGGAGTTTTTGTAAGTGTGATTAGGAAAGAGAAGATGATAAAAAAAGAAAAAAAAAAAGTTAAGCATTGCCATTAATGCGCCCAGCGGGCGCATGCAGTGCACGCGTCCTCTGGGCGCCATTGTGGCAGTGGGCGCCATTGTGGCAGTGCACGCAAGCAACGCACATGTATGGAGATAAAGTGTGGGGCCCAGCATTTCTGACAAATCTCCTTCTTTGCATGAGCTTGTCTACCCCTTTCTCTCTCCTACCTCTCTCCTCCACCTCATTAATGATTTCTTAAAATCTGGTCCAAACTTATGCAAAATTCTCCTTTTGGGGATGCCCTTGAGCAGACTAGAAGCTCAATTGTCATCAGTCTGTCACCTCCTTGCAATGGAGTAATTAGTAATAATTTCTCTTTTCAATGAATTGAAGGCTGGTGTTGGTTTCATGCCATTGCAAAGGCCCCTTAAAGTCAGTCAGTTCGCACAAAATATATTTTGTTGACAAAAGACCACAAGAAGGTAAATTAATATAAATTGTTTATAGTTGACTAGTGTCAAACCAAGATATGCTAATAAACAACTCTCATGGAAAGTTAACACTACTACAAATAACACTTTAACGTCAATTATTTGAAACATATCCGACGTAATAAATAAATGATACGACATCAGTTTTAAATATTTTTAAATAGGAATATACAACATCGATTTTTAGCGAAAAATCGACGATGTAACTTTATATAAAATAAAATTTAGAGATACCACGTTGGTTATTTACAAAAATTGGAAAAACATAAAGAACCAACCTCAAACAACGCATCCACTGAGGCTCAATTACATGACCTTCCACATGAAAGAGATCACTATATGCCATCTGAGCACAATGTGTATGTGTATATGTATATATATATATATATATATATATATATATATATATATATATATGTGTGTGTATATGTGTATATGTGTGTATGTATATATATATTTTAAATTTTAAATAAGATACCGACGTAAGTTTTTGCAAATAATCGACATGGTATATTGTTAAAAAAATTATAATTGATACGACGTCGGTTTTCTGTTAAACCGACGTCGTATCAATTTTTTTTACGGAAGAGCTTTTGAGTCCAAAGTTGAATGACTTCGAACTAAAACGGCTAAGGTCCTAGGAGCGGTACGAGGCCTGACCTCGCCTATCGTCGAATAGAAGAGCTACGGGTCCAAGGTGAAAATACTTCGACCTAATGGCTAAACACGACAAATTAAACAAACAAACAAACAAAAGAAAAAAAAAACACGAAAAGAATCTCAAAGAGGTCGGGCTTGGCCGACCTCGTTTTTGAAGGGTCGAGCCCCTCATGAGATTTTGGATTCAAGCGCGGAGCTAAATCAACACGAGGATTTTGGGTTTTTGCCTGGGCAAAATTCGAACTCTAAATTTGGGGTTTGAATAATGCTAAGGGTCCTAATAATGTCTTAGCAAAGTTCCAACCTCAAACTTTAAATCCAATTCGTGCTAGGGGCTCGAGATTGTGCAAGGCTTGGGACCTCAAATCAGAGCTCAAATAATGTTAAGGGTTTTAGACCCCAAGTACCATTCATGCAAGGCAAAGAAGCATATCAAAAACACAAGGAAGAAACCATAAATAAACCATCATTGCCATAAACCAAAAGGAGTAGTTTTGTTCAAAACGGAGTTGGAGTTGAGGTTGGCCCAGGGCAGCTCGACACGCGTGGACTCGGCAAAACGGAGGAGGAATAAATTTTTCTTGAAGAGGGTGTAGCATTGAGCTCTGATCTGAGGTCCCAAGGCTTGCACAATCTCGAGCCCCTAGCGCCAATTGAACTTAAAGTTTGAGGTTGGAACTTTGCTAAGGCGTTCAAACCCCAAATTTAGAGTCTGAATTTTGCCCAGGTTTTAGGTCGGCCAAACCCCGAGAGTTCGGCCCCTAACCTCCTTGAGTTTCTTTACTTTTTTTTTGTTTGTTTTTGTTTTTGTTTTGTTTTGTTTTTTATTTGTTTGTTTTTTTCTTTTGTTTGTTTGTTTGTTTGTCGTGCTTAGCCATTAGGTCGAAGTATTTTCACCTTGGACTCGTAGCTCTTCCGTTTGACGATAGACGAGGTCGGACCTCGTACTACACTACTGCCTCTAGGTCCTTAACCGTTTTAGGTCAAAGTAATTCAACTTTGGACCCAAAATCTCTTCCGTTCGGCGATAAGGAAGGTCAGATCTCGTATCGCTCCTAGGGTGTTAGCCGTTTTAGGTTGAAGTCATTCAACTTTGGACCCAAAAGCTCTTCTATTCGGCGATAGGTGAGGTCAGACCTCTCGGTTAAGGTCTCGGCCGACCTCCAGGTCAACCTAAACCTAAGAGGTCGGTCGAGACCTTATAAGAGAAAGTAAGTGAAATTAGTCAGTAGGTAGAGATAAGTCTTACTATAGAAATACCATGACCTCTACATATAAAAAGTCATTTGATGGTCCAAATTGAATCATTCTATAGCTAGAAGTGGCCACGTGCCGGTTCAAGGTCGAACCAGCCCTAAATTAGCTCGAAAAAAACGGGCATGGACGGCTTAGCCCAAACCTGAACCGGCTTATAGAGGGTCAGTTCAGGTCATATAAAAAAATATATCGGAGCCCAGCCGGCCCAGGCCCAAGTCTATGCCAGGCAAAATCTAACATGGACTTTATAAATTATAATATACTTTATAATGTTTATAAGTTATCAAATAATATTACAAGTCTTATAATTTTTTTTAATAATACTACAAGTTCAAATGTTATTAAAGTCTTATAAATTTTTAATTTTGTGAAAAATCATATTAATTTTTTTATTTTGAGATTAATGACTAAAATATTATTTTAAACAAAACATTAACTTTGAAAATGTGCGCAACCTATAGGTTGAAGTAGTAAAAACTTTTGTTGTTAATCATGAGGTCAATGGTTTAAATTTCATTTCAAACAATTTTTTTTTTTAAAATAAATATTGGGTTGATGACTTTTTTGTGTGTAGAAACCAAGGGAAGCCAAAAATGTGTACAATTAAACAGGTGGACTAAATTGTGTAAAATACTTGGCTACCTTCTTCTCATTAGGGTTTTCAAGAAGAGAGTAATCATCATACCTTTCTTAGCAAAAAAAAAAAAAAAAAAAAAAAAACAGTTGTTACATACAGAGGAGAGAGAAGAAGGTATTGGGTAGTAACTTCTTATCTCCCCTCAATTTATTTAGAGTCATAGCCAATAATGTGTAGATTCAAAATCCTAGACAATTTTGTGAAAAGTACATACCTTCTTTTCAAATATTTGCCTTTTTCCGGTAATTTTTATTACTTCAAATTATTTTATAACATAAAGTTTTCAAAAAAAAAATCACATAAAAGATTTTAAAAATTTAAATAGTCATTTGTAGTATGATGGATTGCATGATAATAATAACGTATTT